TTTTTTAACCATCTCTAGTTTTCATGATTTCAAGGAACTTAGTTTTGGAATAAAAGGAGCATTTTTAAAAGATGTTTATTGTAACAGAATTGTTCACAAATCATATGTTCAATTTTAACTTTGAAGTTTCAAATTTTTGTTTTTTGATTTCTCAGGATTTCGTTGAGATCAGAAACTAGAAGACAGAATATCTCAGAAAATGTTGATACAGATGGAGAACTTTTTGCACAAGAGCTGTTCCTGGTGGTAGAGTAGGAAGTAAGAGGGCGAGAAGGAAAAGGGACGGGTGAGAGAAAGGAAGGGAAGGAGGCGGCTGGAGAAGGTGGTAGAAAATTTTGATGAATGAGCAAATAATTTTCGGTAAAGAAGGTTTGCGGAAGCGCTTGTTGGCGGTCTGTGTGTGGTCATTGACTGCTGGTCGGTAAAAATGTATTCTACATATCTAAATAGCAAACTTCTCTCTACTGAGTTTTTTTTAAAGGTTAAAATCATTGTCAAATATTTTTTTAGCTTTCGCTGAAAAAAAATTTTTTTTTGCAAATATATTTGCTGAGATTGATTAAAGATACGGGAACTAAATGACGCTGAACATTTTGTAACTTTTGACCATTGCATGGTTTATTTTATGGTTAGTAGAAATTAATACGGAATGGTAGCAGTATCAAATTCTTTAATATTAGTGGTAAAAAAAAATCATAATTATGAATAGCTTTATAGAGGGTTTTGTTGGAGAAACTTTTCCTGTGCAACGAGTAATTTAATCGCTGTTCTGTATTTATCAGACGGTAAGTATATAGAAAGTCTATTGCTCCCACTCTGTAGGACCATATTTTTTCCTCGACTGTTATTTTTTATAATAGACTATTGTACAGTGTTATAGCAAAGAGCATAGTTGAAAAATTTTGAAAAAGAAGACACGTAATTTTTCTGTGTTTAACACAAAAAATTTTTTTACATGCTATTTACGGTTAGTAACATATGTTCACTTTTGATATATCTGATAAAAACTGTTGAGCCATCTGTTAGTTATCGTTGCCGACAGCGTATAAAAGTCAGGGAGTACCAAAATTTTGATACTTGGAGGATCTGTAGTATGAACTGCAGTTGTTTAACATGTAGCAAACTTGAAAATGCTAACTGTCCAGGAAATGTATCCAAAACATATCTATGGTGGGCAATTGATCATTTGAACAGTGGTCAGAAGTGTACTTTTTCAATAACCATTCAGCTGTTTGTTCAAGATGTTCAGAGTTCTACGCAAGGGATTAGTGCAGGATGTAAAACTTTGTGACTAACAGCATAGCACAGTGGATGAAGGGTAGAGTTGTTCGCTATCACACAACAGTTTTTAAAGCCTTTGTCAACAGAACTCAGAAAGACAAAATCCATTTCAAAGTGGTCGTCGCTGTTTTTTTACTGCTTTTTGATATGGAGCTTTATGATTTTTGAAAAGCGCAGTCAAAGGTACGTTGTATACAGTTAGGTCGAGTCAATGTAACTTTTGGTTTTTTACTTAAGTAATGAACAAATTACTTTTTTGTTTCAGTGGAAGAATCTTCGTGATGTTAAGCGATGTTAGAACCCCTTACTTGTACGGGTATCAAATTTTGTGCCCTTTTTATTTTTCATGAAAATGGTTTATTAGTCATTCTGTTTTCATTTGTGGTACATTAGCTGTCTTTAATCTCAAATTGTAAATCTGCAGAAATCACTTAGTTTCGAGTAATCTGTCTTTGCAAAGCTGTATTGGTGTTGAGTTACTGTTTTTTCCCAAGATGTTCACTTCTACAAATTATTGCTCGTTTTTTGCACTTCTTTATCCACAGCTGAGTTCTTCCAATTTAAAATAAACATTTGTTAAAGTGACAAAAGGGAACAGAGGTTTTATTTTGGGGGATAAATTCATCTGCGGCACAAAAAACATCGAGAAGATTTACTACTGGCATTCATTATTTATGGTATGTATAAAAATACGTCTTTTAGTTATGTCTTAATTCATATTTTTTCTCTACAAACTTTTTTCGAGGCTTAAAGCACATTCGAATTTGGAGGCAAGTATTGGTTGTAAAGTAAATTAACGTCTCGCTTTGTAGGAAACCTTTTTTAAATTTTTGGTTTCTTTTAACAATGGACAAAGAGTATTGGAACACTTTTGAGATTCTTCGGAAAATTCTTTCAGAACGCCAGCAGCAGACAGAGATTGTGGGGGTG